CCATCCTTGGACTTCAACGAACATTCAAGAAAAAGAATTGGCTAAATTGGTCCAGGCGTTGTTGAGTTATGCGCTTACCAACACATTTTGCGATTTATTTTTATATATATAAGATTTAATAAACTTTATATTTACATAACTGGCAGGTCTATATAAACATACAAAACTTTCATATAAAATTACCACTATATGAATGATTTTTACTAATAGACTAAATTGCTTGGCAGTTTGATTGTATTAACAATAATTCATGGAAAAATGAATATTGTTAATATAATTTATATAATATTGAACAAGTAGACTTTGGAAATTTATTGTTTTGATATTACCTCATTGTCTATAACATTCAAAAAACACACACTTAAAATAAAGTATTGATTTTTTTGATTCTCTAGAAATTGTTTCAAAATACCTTACTTAGCAAAACAACGTTTGCCGGGTTAGATAGCTAAATATAAAAAATTTCAATCGTAGCGAAAGCGAAACTGTTGCACGTGTGCATCTTCCAGGCTACGTAAAAGGTACGTTCAAAATTACGTAACACTAACGGTTTTATTACGTCTTGTTGTTTATTGACTTGTGAAAAGTTAGGGTTCTATTCCAAGCTCACTAAAAACTGTAGTATATTTGTGAAGTATTATAATCCTAATATTTTGTATTATGTATAGCAGATAACATGTTTTCTGCAATTTATCTTCCGTGCCTTCTACTAAAAGCGAAACAACTCTTCAAATCGCCAGCACAAATTGAATGTATTTTGATTTATTCAAAAATTGGTGTATTCGTTCTCTCAATAACCATGACCGAAACGCCTGAACCTGACTTTTCCAGAAAACAATCTCTCGTATTACGTAAATCTGTTTGCCGGCTCGCTAGGATACGAAGTAGATAAAAGAATATCCGAACATTACATTCTATATCTATTAAATAAAATGAAATCTTTTCTTAATTCAATTGAATTAACCTTTTTTATCAATTCTAAAGAAACGGCTCGCCCGAACTACGCGAGTTCTTATCCAGTTGCATCAAGCAACGTTGCCGTTTCTTCGTAATTAATATTTGAATTATTTTTAATTAAATGAAAATAAATGTTAAACATTTGTTTTGGCAATATAATTAATATGCAATAGCTAAAACCTGAATCTCCATTATTTTTTATTATTTACACGTAGTGGGAAGTTTATGCAACTTAGCTTAAAGCCAAATGCTACTTACACCTAGTGTATTTTCAAAATATGTTTATGGGTTTTTTTATCGGAAACGTTGACGAAAATTTTTGCATTTTTCTGCTAATTCTGAAGAAATGTGGAACTACTTGGCAGAGTCTCGTAAAAATAATTAATTCGAGTCCTTCCTTATCGAATTTCATCAAATGGAAAGTCGTTAACTATTAGACGTAAGAGCTAATATCAAAAATATCCCACACATAAGAGAATGGTAAATCGATGGATTGCCTCTCATGAAATACATAAGTAGTCATAAGTCCTTAACAAACAGCTTATAGAACATATAAAATAGTAAGAGTTCTGATTGCTGTTCAAACAATAATAAAAATAATGAAAAAGTGAAAAGTCGCTTTTGAGAAAACGTCGACGAAAGGCCAAATTTTGGCTCACATACATTACACGCATAAGAGAGTAGAGGTCAGCTATTATCTTACACAGATTTTACCGAACACGGCTGTTTTTAAGCATACGTAAACTAGGAGTATTTTCTAAAAGCAAATAATTTTCAAAAATCAATTATTTTTATAATTGAACCAGTTTCCGTAGGACTTTCATGGTTTAGTTTGTTCATTAAGACCAATTACTTTATCGTTATACCAAGTAAATCGTCTAATTTCAATTTCCAGCCGTTTTTGAGAAAACGCCGATTTACGGAAAAAATCTGTTCACACTCACACAGTTTTTCCAAATTTGGTCTCATTCGATTCGAAACGTCGAGAAAACATAAAATTAGCGACTCGGATTTTCTGATGAAAACAAACTTCTCCTTCAGCAAATGATAGTCTGTCCGATGGCAGGTCAGAAATCAATGATTTTCTTACTCTTCCTTATCTATCATTCTCATTACCGCTATTCACTGCGCTTCGGCTTTCAGTTTCCTCTATTTTTTTTTCTCACGTAAGTCGTCAATGATTTGCATTCTTCTTTTTCCCATTCCTCTTATTGCCAGTCTTTCTATTTTACCTTCGACTAGGTCGTGTAGAGGGACACTTTGTGCAGAACGGGTTCGATCCAGTTTTTTTTTTTCATTTCAAGATCGCGCTCAGTAGAGTCCTTTCTTCGTCCACTTTATCTTCTCCATTCGCCTCCAGCACCACATTTGAAAACCCTTCAGGTAGTTCTTGTCGGCCTTTCTTAGAGTCCATGTCTCTGATCCGTGCAGAGCTATGCTCCAAACATAGCACTTTTATTAGTCTTTTTCGCAAATCGAGACTCAGTTTGCTCGTCAATAGCGTTCTCTTCTTCCTAAATGCCGTCTTCGCGCTTGCGATTCTTGTTCTGATTTCTCTCGTGCAGTATCCCGTCTCTAATCAAGATGCTTCCAAGTATTTGAAATGATTCATGTCTTCCAATTCTCAATTTCCTACAGTTATCCCCAGGCACTCATCTCGATGCGTGTTTCTCATCACTTTCGACTTGCCGATGTTGATTTCTATTCGGTATCTTCTACCCAATTCGACGATTGTGCTAATCATGTTTTGTATCTCGATTTGGGTTTTCAATATCACCACGAGATCATCTGCGTACTTTATGGTGATGATTTTTTTCCTTCAATCGAGTAATCTACAGTATTCTCAAGTGCCTTGTTATCGAGCCATTCTCCGTACAGGTTGAATAAGATCGGTGACATGCAGCATCCTTGCCCCACTCCGCTAAATATTTCAACGCTGTTTGTATCTTCTTGATTCACTTGAACCTTTACTTCCTCTCCCTTATATAGATACTGGATCAGCCCCCGGTCTCTCCAATCGACGTTAATAGATTTAAAAATTCTCATAAGTTTACTTCAGTTAACTGTGTCAAAAGCTTTCTGCCAAGCTGTAAAACAGAACCTATGTTCTCGCTAACGACAAGACATCTATCCGACATTATCCTAAATATACCAATAGTCCATGGAGCATTTTCTTTTTCTGAAACCAAACTGACCTTCGCTCATGTGCTGTTCGATCTTATTTTCAAGTCGTCTAGTAAGGATTTTGGTCAGTAGCTTTCGTGTGTGCGAAGTCAATCTGATCGTCCTGTGGTCACTGTACTTGTCGCTTTGTGCTTTTTTTGAAGAGCTATCATCGTGACATCCAAGAAGTCCAATTGTTCGCCCGTTCGGTATGTTTGTTTTAACAGTTTGGCCAGTTTCCTTAATCCGTTGTTGCCCAGCTCTTTCATAAGGTCTGTCGGTATGTCATCTCCTATTGCTTTCTTTTTTCTCATATCCTTTATTGCTCTCTCGACTCAACTTTTCAATATGCACGGTCCGTTGTCGTCTTTGTCCACTTCTTTCTCTTCATCTTCCATTTCGTATGTTTTTCTGCTTTCTTCAGTCCAGTCCATATTTTGTAGTCTGAAATATTAAGTCGCACCTACCTTGTTTTTGATGTCCCATTATCCTGTTGCGCGTTTCGTCCGTGTATTTTGCCTTTGCCTTCTCCGTTTCTTGCCTTAGTTCATTGTTCAGTTTTTAATACATCCTTGCATCTGTATTCTTATACTTTCTGCGCTCATCCATTTTATTTATCATTTCTTGGCTTATCTGCGGCTTACTAGCTACTTTTCCTAGCTTTCTGACTTTGTCCCCCAGCGTTTCCACAAGTAGACATTTGCCTTATTCCAATCCTTTTCTACTGCTTTTTCCCCATCTTTCATTACGCAGAATTTTGTCTCCATTTCTCTCATCACTATGATTTTATTATTCCTCAAGTTTTCCAGACTCCATCTCTGTCTCCTTTTACCCGTTTTGCGGATATTCTTTAGTTTTGTCTCTATATCGGCCGTCAGTAAATTTTGATCGGAGTCTATATCGGTTCCTAAAAAGTCTTTCTTCCACGCTATTTCTGGATCTGTTTTTGACGATGTAGTCGATAAATATCATATCGTCTAAGATGTAATCTGGCATGTGTATGTAAACTTACTCTAAAAGATAAAAGTCGACAAAGTAATTTACATTATTGCACCTTTAATATCTGATTACTAGAGTCAATCATATATTGGGCAAAGAACTTTATGGCTGTTGAATGAAAACAGTGAATTAGGAAGTGTGTTATCGGAGGGATGTCGCACTTTTAGCTCCTTGTAGCATGGGAACCTAGTTTCCATAGTGCTCTGTTAACAGAAGGTTGATTGTATACACACACATTACATATGTAACACATTATTACTCATTTCATATTTTACAAATCTAATTTATCTCTGTAAGCATGATTGAACAGTTTCCACATAAGCAGGCAATGCTTCATATGAACTTTATATGAACCTTCACTATCAAAAGAATTGACTAATCAAAATTAGTCAAGTAAATTGAAATAGAAAGGATATATTTTAAAATGATATAAACATACACAAATGTCTGTATTAAACAAAAATATATTTCGAGATCACAATATTTCATCAATTTTTCAAAAACTATTTTATCATTAGTATCAGATTAGATAAATCTCACGTCAAATTGTAACAATGACTAGTAATATGATAAAAGTAATCCAACTGTTTTATTAGGTAGTCTTTGGTACCAAGTGTAACTTGTTAAATTGTTATTTATAGAAATTGCAAAAACCATATCACTAACAATTAATAAATCATTGTTAAAATTTGTGCTAGTGGTAACAAATCAAATTTAACATTACTATAATTATATAAAAATATTTCGAATTTTATAATAAAATTATTTTTATACTTCTAAAGATAATTCATACTATATATAAAAAAATGACAAATTATAAACTCATTGAAAGATATTCACACTCATATTTACACACAACCATACTTGCAAATATTCCTCCGTACATTATATATAACATGCTTACATATGTATGTATATAGTATACACAATACATGTATACATTCAAACTTTACTAATATACTTAACACTTAACACAGAAACAGGTACACAGTTATTGATAATTGGAAGATAATTTCAAAATATTTTATATTCCTTACTTGAGTTTAAATTTTTTTTATTTATAAATAAAATAGATTATTTTCTAACATGGGATTTGGCTGGGCTTTCACATGTAGTCCAATTAGGTAAGCTAATTTATGCGCATACTGGAAATAATATTTGCTATTACAATTCTATTAAAAAATATTCACATTATAATAAAATATATTTACTACTTACCTGGCAGCACGCAGGAACGCGAATAGTGCCAGGCCAATTGTAGTAAAGATGGCACAGTTTGAAACTTAATCGTTGTATGTGATCAGTCTTTAAATTTGTGTTATCCTGAAGAATAATATAATGCGATGGAGTTACTGTACCTTGGTTTACATTTTGAGGTACCAGATAAAAGTCTCGTACATTTTTTTTCGTTATAGAATGATCAATTATGGACCCTGGGTTTGGGTTTGTAAACCCGTTATTCGTCTAATCAAATTAAAATATATTTAATGCAATAAATGAATTTAAAATATGTACAAAGCCATTTCATTTATACAAACCGAAGTCATTACGCGTGTATTAATACGCTTCTGTACAACAATGAAGATCAGTAAAGGCTTTTGTTTGCCAAAAACTTCACTGTCAAAGCATTCCTCCATCATAGAAATTTCAACATCCTGACAATGCTTGAGCTGGCCATCACCAACTCCATCTCTGCATTCAAAATAAAAAAATAGAGTATGTTTATTATTAAATAATACGATCTGTATAAATTGTTACACAGCCTTTTAAATGGTTATTCCATATAATATATAATATATATTAATATTATATATATACAATATATATTAATATATAATATATATAAATATATTATATATATAATATATATTAATATATATTAATTGCAAATCAATAGCTATTAATGAATTAATTTATTAAGATCATTTGATATTTGTCAAGTAGTTTTAACTGACTGGGAAAAATGAATTAATAAACATTTGAATTAATACAATTTGAATTCATAACAGATAGTTGTTATAATATTTTGTAAACCTTTTGAAATAATAAAATTCTTTAATAATAGTTAAATAATAAACATTAGAATAATGTGACCAAAAATATAATTTGAATAAATTAATAATTATTTGAGAACCAAGAATAATTTCAAAATCTTTCATTTTCACCATTTAACTTTGCGCTTCCAAACAAATGCACAAGATGACGAACATATACTAGGCCTTGAAATTGGCATTTAAAAAAAAGGGATCAATAATCCTTTAAAAAAAAAAAATAGAAGACTTAAAACTATAATTTAAGTCCAAGCATTTTGCAAAATCTCGATTTATTTAGTTAAAATTAACTTGTGGTATTATAAATTAGCATAATTACTAATCAAAGTTACTAGTGTGCTTTGTATATTTCAATCGTTAGATTTTATCATCATTTTTACAGTCGTTAATTGAATTTCTAAAATAATTCTTTTATTAATTTACTCTTGTTTATCAAATTTTCAAGTAATTCAGAAACAAATGAATAGTATTTTACCATACCTGTAGCAAATAATTTTGCTAGGAAAGGCTGCATTGACATCATAATATCTTTTTATAGCTTTTTGAAATAGATATTTCATGCACTGACCTAACTCATCGCCTGGGTTTTGAAATCCAACTTGATTGTAAAATTTAGTGCATGATCGATTTAAGGACGACACAAACCCTAATGAAACAAGTGAAACAAATAGTGTGTTAGTAGTATTAGTTGTACATATACTATCAATGCAAAAAGCTGTTCAAACAGCAATTTTATGAAATCAATCTAAGAATAAAAGTAAGTATTAATTAGTAATTGTTTACAGTACAGATGTAAACTTTAGGTTGAAAAAAATAAATATATAATATGTCATCCCAGTAAATAACTGGTTGAGTTAATTTTTATACTTTGTGAAACTTGATTTCAAAGTTCCTTATATTACTGACATAATATAACGGATTTGAAATTAATGGTTTAAATTTTATATGAAGTGCTTCATTAACATTTGTTCCTAGCCAATAATTTTTCAATGTAATAACTATTTTCAGAAATAGATAATACTACGGCTTAAGACATTTTTGCTGAAACTTGACTTAACTTATTCACTGGGATGACATATATTGATGAAGCAATAGTTAATGAATGGACAATATCTCTAATTCTGTGCTACTAGTGACACTAATCAATGCTTGGATTAAATGTTCAGATTATTCAATATGAACTATATTTGCTTGAAAAATTGGACTCACCTATTACAGATTTGTCTCTGATATTGGCGTCATGGTATGTGTCTATACCACAAATCATAGTATTTTGTAACGGTATACTAACACCCCATAACGATCCTCCTATTTTGCAGTTTATTTGTAAAGCTATCTTCTGAACCACAGATCTTAATTTATTCGGCATTGAAATAGTTTTTGAGTTAATCACCTGGGATGCAATTCCATATTGTACACAACAGAGCTTTTTAACTGCAGCATACCGATCATCACGCATTGTAGGAAAAATGTAAACTATCACTTGAAGCCTACTATTTTCTTCAATTGCTTTACGAGTTGCCATAACATATGTTTCTGTTCTGTCATTGCTTATACATTTCATAATAGGATCTTTAACTACTATTCCCATAGGAGGCCCACATCGTTTCATGCAGTCTTTAAAATTTGTCGCATTGCTCTGATCTGATGTTGCAAAGATGACGATCCATTCCATTAAATCAACGGATTCCAATGCACGATTTCTTGTGCATTCCTGACCCCAACTAGCATTTGAATTTGCAGAAACAGTTGTTCCTCCAGAAAATATTATAGTTTCTGTTTCTAGAGTGCGCCCCTTCATTTTGAAACAATCATCATCCATGTACAGACCCCAACTTGAGAGTAAATCTTGAGCTTTCTTGTTATTTCTGACATTTGCCAAAAACTTTCGCAAACCATAAACTCTTTGTTCTGGTGTTATCCTTGTGTATGTAGCAATTTCTCGCATTATTTTGAAATTGTTTCGTATGTCTTCAGAAATTCCAGTCAGAAATGCAATTTCAGGGACCAAACATATTTTGCTTTCTACTGGTTCTGAATAACCAGATACTTTGGTGCTATTTATACTTATCAAAAGAGGTTGATCCAAATCAATTATATCAATATTGTACTGTTGTTTATAATACTCGCAAAATGTTATTTTTTTACCCTGTGATGTTTCAAATTGTGTCATTGGAGACATCCCAAAATCAATGTCATCAATTCGATATGTGCGATTGTTGTATCTGGTTAAAACGTGAGAACCTAATAATGCAGTCTTAGCATTTTTTATTACATTATTCTTATCACCACGAGCAATATTAGTCAGCATATTCAGAACTGTTTTCTGTCTCAAAACACGATGCGAAACATCAAGACATAACATAACTCCATCATCAAATTCATTGACTGCTGTAACATATCCTGGCCATATTTCAAGCTGATGCTGAGGAATGATTTTTGCACCTGCAGGATCAAAGTGCTGCCGATTAAAAGTTACGAGCTCTAAGGTATTCATAATTCGCTTGAATAACACGTTGTATAAATGAATACACTCTCCCAGACTCTTCTTCCTCTTATAAATAATCTGCAACTTTACAGGTTTTTCATCTATAGGGTTGATCGACACAAGGTTTCTTTTGCTCTCTTCTAAAAGAATAGGTAAATATAAAATTACCCCATCAAAGGTTTTCACACCTCCCAATTCTTGAAGATGCTGATTTAATAATTTTATCCTCAATCCTTTACAGTCAATGTCTGTATCAAATTTGACTTCGTATTCGTAAACTCCCTTGTTAGGTTCCAGTTTGAGCTTAATATAATTAGAAGTTAAAGTCACTGCTGTGCCACTGGTTCCAAGTAATGATTTATTTTGAGCGTTCTCTGTGGTGACTTGTGCCGCTGTGGGGACTTGTTCCGCTGTGGGGACTTGTTCCGCTGTGGGGACTTGTTTCTCTGCGGGACCTTGTGAGGTTGTGGAAGCTTGTGAGCTTGTGGAGGCTTGTGCCGTTGTGGGGACTTGAGCCGTTGTGGGGACTTGAGTCGCTGTGGGGACTACTCCAGGATTACGTGCAGCCTGGAACGATGCTAAAAGTCTTGCCCTACCTCTACCAATATCTGAAACAATTTTTGATGCATCTATTCCTACTGGAAGAAGATCACTATCAGATGTAACCCCATGGGACAATGATCTTAGTATTGCAGATCGGTTGAAAACACCACTTGAAGAACTAGATGAACTCTGATTCGACGCACCAACAGAACAAGGTTCAGTAGGTCTTGGTAAAACCCCACGTCCCCTACCTAGCAGATTAAATAAATATAATATTTTTTATCAAGATAAGAATCGATTATAAATCTTTTCACATTAGTAAAAAAGTAATAAAGTTTTATGAACTAAAATAAAATATTAATTACGTTTACATGACTAAAATATTTTGTAGTAGTATTTAGGGACATAAGACAAAAATCTAATGACAGGAACAATTCAATAATAATCTGATTGCAGGAAATATTCAAAAAAATGATGTACAAAATATAAGTAATTAAAGGCTTATAATAATCTTCCAAATCAGATAGTTTTTATGAGTGTCCTTTGGTATATTTCATTTTTGAATATGATTTTTGAAAGTGAGTTTTTTTTATCAAAATTATTGAAGACGTTAGATATCGAATATTACAAGTAAAAGGTTCGTCTCATTCAATTCAAAGATTAGACTCTACAAATTAAATACAACGAAATCAAATAAGACAATATAAATAATAAAGCGTACCTATAGCCGCACTACCAATTCCCAATTTATTCAATCTGCTGGATAACAAATTTGTTGGTAAATTGCTCGCGTTTGAAGAATTTGAGGTAGAAGAATGCTCATCAGAATTTTCCATGCTGCAAAACTAACCTAAAATGACAATATTTTTGTTAAACAAACTTCTGTGTGAGTTGATTACACTAATAAACATACTTAACGTTTAACTTGCTTTTAACTTACACTTTATGATAATATCGAAGTAAGTTTAAATTAACACAGAAAGATTGGCCGCGAAAACGACACTATATCTAAAAAATAACAATGTGAAAAGCAAACAACGCCGTCGTCAAGAGAGTTGAACAAAGAGAGTTAAATAAAGCTTTGCAGGTAGACCATCGATAAACACTATAGCCTAGCGGAGAAGTCGCGAAGTTCGTACTTATTACTCGGTGACCATAGATAAATAAACATAATAACCATAAATAAAATCATAGATAAATAAACATAAACGGATTCATCCAAGAAATTAAGTCTGTTGTTATTTTGTAGTTCATTCACAGATTATATCGTTCAATAATCTGTTTGTTACCAACAGTGATCCCATAATATCGAGGGAATAATACTTTTTGTCTCACATAACAAACTCAAAAAAGACTTAATTCAAAGAAATTTTGAATTACAAAATTTGTTTCTTCGCCTGAAAAGAAATTTATAAAATCACTTTGCTGTCGACGTTTCGGAACTAGGTACGTTCCATCTTCCGGACATCTGTGAAGAAACATGATCTTGATAAGATTTAAACAAATAATATGTTTAAGAAAAGCAAAAAAGGATTTTTTACATAAAATGAATAAAATTGTGGAAAAAATAATGTTCAGAAATATGGCAATATAATTAAAATGAAAATGATAAAAATAAATGAGTGGTTAATAACAAAATATTAGAAATGTTAAAAAATTAGAAAGTTTTGAAAAAATGTTACGAAAAAAAAAAAACAGAATGAATTACCTGTATGATTGATTATACACTAACACTTTTTCACTAAAAAAAATTTATCAAAAAAAATGTAATTTATAAATTCCTTTTCAGACGAAAAAACAAATTTTGTAATTCAAAATTTTGTTGAATTATATCTTTTTTGAGTTTGTTATGTGAGACAAAAGTATTATTCGGCCTATGTTATAGGATGACTATTTGGTAACAAACTGATTATTAAACGGATGAAGAAAACACTTGACTTAAAATCTGTGTGTATGTGTGTGCGTGTTGTTTTTATATATCAGAACAACACGCACACACACACCGTTCAATAATCAGTTTGTTACCAAATAGTTATCCTATAACATAGGCCGAATAATACTTTTGTCTCACATAACAAACTCAAAAAAGATATAATTTAACAAAATTTTGCCAAAATAGTCATCCTATAACATCGAGGGAATAATACTTTTTGTCGTCACATAACAAACGTAAATGAATTAATGTATTAAAATGAATTAAAATATAATATATATATATATATATATATATATATATATATGTGTGTGTGTGTGTGTGTGTGTGTGGATAAAACTAGAACACTAACTTTAGAAATTGTAAAATAATGAATATATATATATATATATATATATATATATATATAAAAAAATTAAAATGAATTAAAATATAATATAGAACTTACCACACAAATTATAAAAAAACATTACCCACATACAATGAAATAATATCATAATTAACATTCATATTTATGAAAATCAACCTATTTAATTTAAAAAATAATATTATAACCGAATCGAACTGAGTATAAACATGGTCAAAGCATTTGTATGGAATAATGATAAAATTTAGAAGCGTGTAAATAAGCGCTAATCGTATGCGGATTAAAACATATACAATAAACGCGCATGTATAAATTTAAATATATATATATATATATATATATATATATATATATATATATATGCTGCAAGCAGTGTTAGGTGATGTCGTCGCCAAGATGCTCATATATTTTTTTATTATAAATTTTTGTACAAACCTTGTGTAGATTGACGATACTAGGCCTAAAAGTTGTTTATATTCCTAACAAAAGAATATTCCTATGTTTGCAGAAATATTTGTTTCAAATCAAACAGGATTTCACAATATTTTTATTAACTTTTTAATTCACAACTACGCAGGAACCCGGGCGATTTTTATTTATTAGATGCTTACACTTTGGCGGTCAACGTAAGAATGACTCATGGTAGGTAAACACAGAGCAAAAATGCTCAACCATAGATAAATAAACAAAATTTTAAATAGAGGGTGCTATACCCGTTTTTGTGTGTTCCGCACTCAACAGATGATCTAATGTGCCCAAATTAGTAACACTTTCAAAAGAACTGTTTCTGTTGTTATAATATATTCACTTTAAACATTTAATATATCTTTTATATATGTTTTTGTGAAAACATATTTGTGATTTAGCTGAAAATAATTTTTACACGCGTATATTTTTTCCCATTTTATTTATTCAAATTATTCGGGTTTATCTTTTCATATTATATATTTTTATAAATCTTATCTAGAAATAAATCTAGGAGTGCAAAAACTGGCGGAAACAATGAAAATTAAAGTAAATGGCAAAGCAACCGTGTTTGCGATCTATTTATACATTTTTTTATCTATGGACTGACTTTATTTTATATTAATTTTAATCTAACAAAAAATTTTAGATCAGCATAGTGGGGAAATCTTTTTAGTACTTTCGTTTAAAGTAATAAAATGATAAATTAGCAAAAGTTTATCAATTCCTAGGACATAATATAAAAATCTTTAGTTTAACTTTAAAACAAAAATTTGTACTTTATTTATTATGTTTTAATTTTTAAATAATGTTAGTTTAAATTTTTGTGATTGTTTTTCCTGGTGTGATACTGTATAAATATTTAAAAAAAAGCTGAATGATGACACACATACGTATAAATAGTTCATTATTTATTGTTCTTTTATTTCGATTATTGGCTGCATTCAAGAATATGTCTCAACGTCGAACAAAAAAATCTAAATCTTATATATATATATATATATATATATATATATATATATACAGGGCCGGTCCTGGGGTCCTTAGCGCCCGCATGCAACTTTTTTTTTAGCGCCCCCCCCCTTCATTAATTTTACCTGTTTTTACAGTTTATCATTTAAATTATATAAATATTTACATACTTTTCAAAAATTAATTTTTATTTATTCTGGATTTAGTACGCCAAAAATTAGACATAATCTAAAAGCGTATAAATCACATTGATTTTAAATTTATTTAGAAAATCAAAGTGATTTGCGGGTTGATTATAATCAAATATTTTTAAATTTTCAATTATTTTTAACGTGTGTTCAATATTAATATTTGGGTTTTAAAAAATTTTACTTATTTATTATGCGATTTATTCTATTGAGCAAATCATGCTAAGAGTGCTAAAAAAAAACTAGAACTCATAACACTCGTATTTCTTCGTTGGATTTTTTAAATTTTAATTTAATTTAATTTTCTATTATTTACAATATTCAAAATTGCATCGTAAACTTCACTTTATTGATATCGTAAGAGCCGAATTGTATTCATCCTTGCTTTCCCTTCATGTTCAGAGTATTAGTATGTTGTTTCAAAGTTAAATTTTTAACGTATTTTTCAAGTATTGTCCAAAAATCAGTAAAAAATGAAAATAAATTTCACATTTCTTCAACTATATTGAAAAATAACTAATTATATTTGATATACAATAATTCTGCATAGTTAAATTATTAAATTTGGAGTATGGACACCACTCAATATGAAAAAAGCCTCAAGATTTTCGTTCCAAAGTAAATTTTGCTTCCATTTTTTATATTTGTTCCATTTCCATAATCCTAACCACGCATGTCTTCAACATTTAATTCAGTTCATCAGATGAGAAACATTTGCGACAAATAACAAAAGTTACAATTCAATTTCTCGGAATAAACATGCCATTTTCTAAGCACTGACTCCTCATTTTTCATTTTCTTAATTATAATTTGTTTATATTTTTTAACAAGTTCCGTTTCAACTAAATCAGCTCGCCATTTTTCGTCAATAATGCCCAATAAATAATTTAATCTTTTGCAGATTTGCGCTTATGGGATTGAACACTAGATAATTTCTTTTTTGATTCCACGTTAACTTCAAATAAAGAAAAAATAGAATAAGTAGATTAATCAATAAACACAGCTGTTATTTACTAAATTGCAGAGTTATTAATCGGTTAATTATTTCTACTGATATCACATTGCAAAATAAATATATTATAATAAATATTATTAAGTATTCTATTATTATATTATTATTAAGTATTCTGAATTTTATATAAATAATAAAAATTATAAATAATATAAATTTAATTTCCGAAACACGTTTTGGCGCCCCCTAAGGCGTGCGCCCGCATTTTTTGCATGCCTTTGACCTTGATAGAGAGTTCATACTCCGACGATCGCTGGTGGGGCAGTACAATGAACGACTTGTAACGGATAACACATAATGCTAATTTAAGTTCCGTATTTTAGATTTTAAATTATAACACACTGATGATGAGACAAACCTAGTCTCGAAACGTTTGTAAAACTATTATTTAATAAATTAGTGCAAAAAAGAGTGTTGTTTGTTCATGTTTCTAAATTAATATATATATATATATATATATATATATATATATATATAGATCATTATATTTGAATTAAATAAAATAATATAAACTGCAAAAAAGTAAATTACCTAATTACTTTTTTCGTTAAATTGGGTAAAATTGCGGCTACAGCTCAAACATAAGAAAAGATGAGATAAATTATTTAACATTTTTTTACTAAAATAAAAGTAGTCTAATTGCATAAGCTTTCTGCCAATACAAGATTTGCCAAAGCGGTTCAGCGGTTTCGGATATTACTCCAAACACGCAGCAGATACTCACTTCTGGATTCCATCATATTAAAATATTTATTTATTTTGATGATGTCTTTTGTGAAGATATTGTATCATTCTCATATTTCATGGTTCTAGTCTGGATGAATGAAAGTCAGTGCTTATTAAACATGATGTCCGTTATAAAGTTATAATACTGGTCACTGATCCCAAATGTGATACTTGCGGTACACCAGAGATTCGTATTTATCATAATATAATAGAATATCGTGATCAACATCAAAAACCCCTTCTTAAAAGTTTGTTGTTGTAGATCTGTCACCACAAAAACCATGTTGATTTGTTGGGTATGATATTTTTAAATGTTTATGACAACTTATAGTAGTACTAATTATTCAAACGAATTAGAAATAGCGGATTGAACACGGATAGGTCGGTAACGATCGGCTATTGTTTTAGATCTTGATTTCTATGATAACTGTCGGAAAACTAACACGTTGTAGTGATTTTGCTAAAGTATGTCCTCCAGTCACAAGTTTTGTGAAGTATATTATGTATGTGTAGTATATGAATAAGTATCCAAATGCAGTAGGCCAACTCCGGGATCAAATTTATGTAGGAAAAATTTAATCTCATTATTTTTTATAATTTTAACATTTTATTAAAATGTACTCTTAAAAAACATAAACAGACATATTGCTGCTGCAGATTTTCTTTAATGCGTTTACCCTGTTAGATTTTAATATTGTTCCATTACTAATTTGAGAAGAAATTCTATATCTTCTGTATCTAATAGATTTTGATGTGTGAGCCATTTTTAAACTTATAATTTTTTTTATGAGTGCATATTTTGATATGCATTTAAATAGTTGTCAAACTTCTTGGTAGATACTAAAGTACATATTTGTGATAATTCCATAAAGGATATTATGGATGTGTAACGTACGCATAAGAAAAAATTTATCATAATATATATTACTCGATAAAAATTAAGATTTGGAATAGTAAATTTTTGTTATAATAAAATAATACAATAGAACTTATACAATTGGATATGACGACGATGTATGTAAACGCATAACATTTTTATAAATGGACCCTTTATCACTTGTCGATGTGTCATAGTTGGCTCGATATGTGTAAAACATATTGATTGAGTTTAATATTTAACAAAATACTGGTAATATCAAAATAACGGAATTTTTATTTTAATTTCAGCGTTAATCGGTATTCGGGATCAAGGGATCCCGGTATTGTATGCCCCAAGTCTAATAGAACTGTTAATCTTTTAATAATATTATAAATATACACATAAAATAATCTGACAAGTTAATAGAAAAAAAATATTTATTAATTATAAAACATATAAATACTCAATGTGGTCATATCAAAATAGTTATAGAGAATTATTCTTTAATACTATTAATAAATATAAATATTAATTTAATAACAAAACCATGCATAAATTAATAAAAATAAATGCCAAATATAATGTACAAAGATAACCATGTACATTCATGCCATAACACATGTACATATATAAAAATCTCGTTCAATCATACAATACTTCATGCTTGCATTCATGCTTAATACCTATATTTGAAAAAAGTTATATAAATATTCCTTTATCATGATGCTGTTATTTCGCTGAGTTGTTGACTATTTCATGAGACGGATCTTGAACGGAGTTCGGATTTTTCTGATCTCCAAATTGAAGACCAAAAAGTTGTGATATAAAGGAAATGCCTTCTTCAGCTGAATCGTTCACTACTTGAATGATTTGGGCAGTACTCATACCGACTAATTTATCATCGTCCCTATTTAAAAACAAACATTTTAATGAACTCATTTTTAACGAAAATATATATTTGCAAATAATTTCAATTGTTGCAAAGACTGCAACAATTCTTCTCGTAAATATTTCTCGAAGAGTTATTCTATTCAGTTTAAGTTTGTAATTATGTATTCTTTTTTATTAGATAGGTTACTCTTACTTTATGAAAATTATGAGTTTATAATATTGCGTGAGCACGACTGAAATAATTTTGCTTGAAACATATTTCATAAATAAATTTAAATAAATTTAAAATTCTTTATCATAATTGATTGCAAAATTTACCCTCCACCAGTTGAATTCGTTGCTGGCACCAAATCATCCAGAGACTCCATACCATTGGCACCCACATTGAAACATCCGATTGGTATAGCGAGCTGAGAGGAGCCCAAAACTTGTGGTTCTAAATTCAGACATGCCCGGAGGCCGGTCTCGGAAGGAGTAAGTTCAGAAAATCTAGCGCAGAGACCAGCTACTCCGCCAATGAAATTAGCACAAGTGGGCTCTGGTCGTGGACCTTCGTCATGAAAAATGATTAACAATATATATATATATATATATATATATATATATATATAAATATGAATTAATTAATATAAATGATTAACAATATATGATTATAAATAATATTTTTTACTAAATATTGAACAAAACGGCATTATCATAAAATAATTGAGTTTCCTGATACTACAATGTTTATGTAATCAATGATTGAAACTAGTTTTAGTACCTTTAACAATATCATGGGTGAGCATGTTATTTCCATATGTTATGTTGATGGACATTCCCTGTTCAGGCGACAAATACTTCACGCGCACACATCCTGAAATTATAAAAATTGCTTTTGACTGATATAATTATTAATTGTATAATTTTTATTTAATTATATAATTAATATATATTTATCGCATGTTTTATGTGTAGTTTATAATTTCACTTAACATAAATCTTAATAATTTTCTACGAATATTACTTGACTTTAATTTAAATAATGATGTATACATGGAAAGTATTTAATATATATAGGATAGGGCGGTGCACAAATGTCAAATTTGACCGTTGTTTGTTGTTCATATTGTAAAAACCAAAGCAATGATATCACAACAAATAGCATCTGACCATGTTTAGACCCGGCTAATTTATCATTGTAAAAATGTGTTTTTACAACTTTGTCACCTGGCTATTTTTACCCCATAGACGAAGTAAAGCGGAACGGCCAAGGGGCAATAGGTCCAATATCTTATTTTTAATTTTGAATTAATTTTACGAAATAATAGCTACATTGTTCAGCAAATCCAAAATATATATTATATGAGAACATTTTTTACAGAGATAACATTCAATATTTTGATCTGATATTTCGTCAGAAATATTCGTCAACAGAGTATAGGGATAACTGAATTAATTAACTTAATTTATTTTTCGTAAAATTACTTTTTTTAACGAAATTTACATTTTTATTTACTATTTTTTATTATTTAGGCATTTGCCAGGGTAAAGGTTCAATTGATTCTTTTTACCCCATCCACGAGTAAGCTTTTATATAGGTTATATAAAAAAACTGTTGAATCTAACATAAAATTAATAATACACCTTATAAAACTTTTATATTATTTTAAGATCTCACAAACTACACAAAAGCGGTCACAACTAAAAAAAACTAACGACGTAACAAAATACTTTTATTATAGATTTTAGAACATTGCCGTTTATCTCCTGCATTAGAATCAAGGTAATTGCTACATACAAACATCTTTTTCCCACTACTTTCAGATATTGTTGTTAAAAAATTCTTAACTTTAATTGTTTTAGATATCAGTGGTGGACCTTTTTACCCGCGGACTTTTAAGCCACGCTCTACCCTATATATGTATGTATGTGTGTTACTCCATTATAGTTAAGTCTCCATATAATTGCTTATATGCCAGTATAATACAATTAATAAATTTTCACAATATATATTATTCTTCGAACTTAATTTCGTAATCTAATCTAATATACAATACATTATATAAAAAAACAAAGTTTCTTTTCATCTCACTTTAAATTATGTCCAACAAATTAAAATATATATTCATACTGTGCTTTTGAATAGATGACAAACAAAATAATATTTCCTCTCAATGTTGAGATTTGAGAAAATATTAAAATCCTTAATTATGAATGAATTAAAATCTTACCCGGTCCGCCGATATCGATGATCGTAAGGTTGAAGTCGGCGCAACACGTGCAAGAAGCGCCATCGCAAAAGCAACTGCGAGTTGGCTTAACATCATCCGTGTTCTCTTCGCCGCTTTGCCGTGAGTCCAGGTTTCCCGACTGAAGCTGCCGAGACTGTTGCCACACTTCTAATTTTTCTTGACTCTCACTGAGCTGTTGCTTTCTGTTACCAGCATCTGCGCATTGAAATATATGAAATATTTATCACTGTTTTATACGCTTTTAAGACTTGTATAAGTTGTTCTATTTTTTTCATAACTCATTGTTAGCAAAAATTGGCAGTTTAAAAGTTTGTTTCCATAATATTTGGTAATTTTCGTAAAATTGAAAATGAAAAATGTGAGAAGCTATTTTAGAATTATACATTCGACACTTTTTTATTTCAAACGTATTGTTTTAAATAATTATGCTCGTTAAATATAACATTTCTAGATATTTGATGGTAATATTAAATTAATATTTTTATCAAGTAATATTTGAATCTAATTTTAATCTATACTTTTCGAAAAGCCAGGGCAATCCGGAACATAAGATCTAAATCCAGGACAATTATTGCTTTTAGAAAAACGCGAGACATATATTGGTTTTAGAAAAATCCAGAACACAAGACGAAAATCCAAGACTGCCTCGGCCAAACCATAACGTATGACCACCTTAACTTTATATGTACAAATTTTATTTAATTAGTGATGATAATCAAATATAGTTTTACATTCTTAAAATAGTCAACTAACTTTACAATGAAATAAATTGTTCAAGATTGAATTCAACTATGACATTTAAAGTTAGCATGTGAGAATAACTTTCAACTTAGAGACCCATTCTGCCGCATACCAAAAAAATGTTATGACAAGACCATGTTATGAAGAACTTTCCATACGAAATATTGATAAAAGCTATGTGGTTAGTGTGCAGTCAGGCGTATTTCTCAGGTTGTTGAGAAAACCTAACCTAGAAACCGCACAAATGTCAAAAAAAATGATCTTAGATAACAAAGTCTTTCTGACTTAGCTCCATAACATACAAGTGACGTTGCAGTTTATCTGTAAAACGCTTGAATGCATAGCAAAGCATGATATTATGACAGTATTCAATATAATTTAGTAGCAAAATGTATGGAAGTTGGAGCGTAACATGGCCTTGCCATAACATTTTTCTGTTATGCGGCAGAATCGGTCCTTTAATAAGTAATTTCAAGATAAATATGAGTCGCTCTGGTACATCTTGTACAAAAGTGCTGACAACGTGATGTACAGCCTATTGGTAAATTGTATAAGACAAAAAAAGTTGTGAGATGTAAAATGAAAGATTTTCTCCAATTCTCTAAAATTTTATATTCTAAAAACTAGTAGACTAAAAACTGATATTAAAAATCTTAAATTTCACTTTTCACAATACATCAATAACGATGTATGCGAATATGTATATTATCTTTGCTTATTGTGGTAAATTTATATATTATTAAATAAACATATGAAAAATCGCACATAGCAGATAACAATTATACAATTAACGACATTGTATTTGAATTATTTTAGTATTAAATTCAACTATTTGTGTAAGGCATTGTTTAACCCATCGCAATTTTCAGAGTAGTAAAACAAATATTCAAATTTTTGTTCTATATCAAATACACATAAATTACCATTTGCACTCTTTCATAAGTAATTTAATCCTCAAATAAAGAATGCAATGTGATGAATAAAATAATTAAAACGTAATTTTGTTTTTTTATCTGTGATCGTAATATATTTATAAACTTTTTTCTTCACTTTCATTTAAATGACTGTCACAAATGCTAATTTATATTTCTAAATAGCTTGTTGACGTTTGGATTAATAAATTGACTAAAGATATCATCTGAACGAAAAAGCATAAACAATAACATAAATTCGGTAACATAAAAAGGTCATTAGCATACAATGCAAACAAAGATAAAATTCGCTTTCTATAACTCGATCTTGAATTTCACTTCTCTCAAGAAAGTAGTTTCGCCCTGATTAACGCGTTCCAACAAGTTTCGAATTGTTGTAAGGAGTTATGATTTGAAGTTTTTTTTATCAAAACAATGAAATTATTGTACGGTTAATTTCAATTCAATTCAAGGCATCGTAACTTAAGGCAAATTAAATGCAAAGAAATTAAAATGTTTTTAGTTTAAATTAAAATTTAAATCCGAATAATTTTAGATATTTAAAGGATATTTTTTGCAAATTTAAAAAAATATATATTAAAAAAAAAGTTTTGTCTTTCCCAAAAGCTAATAATTTATTTACTCTCCAAACACAAGCAAAATATTTTTTGAATTAGATGATCCGATTCGAATATTTTTTGAATTTTTTAAATCGGTTCATACGGTCTCCCGAAAACCTGGAGGAAAAATTTGTATCCACACACACATACATGCATCAATTTTTTTCTAACAATGAGGTATGCCAAAATGTTCAGAAACCTCTAACACGTAAAGATATGCAAAAATTCTCATTTTCGATTTTTGGTCGATTACTATAACTTACCCTACGGAAAGTTAATATATTAGATAATGAATCAGATATAAGATTGCTATGTGTCTAAATAATTATAATTACGTCGTAAGTCAAAATAACTTAGTTCGTCAATGTTAGTCTTTTGTAATTCCAATAATTCTAATACAGGTTGTATAAAATAAAATTAGAAACGTAAATAACATTGATATTGGTTTGGAATTGTACATACTGCACAGAATAATTCGCCAAAAAACCCTTAATTAAAAATAATAAATGTACATATGAAGTACAAAATCGACAACTTCAGAATCTATTGTTATAATGCTCTCATTCAGAAGCTCGAATTATAAAACTTCTTTCTAATCATATCATTTTATTGTGAGTATTTTTTTCTGTGAAATATTAGAATGCTAATCTATGTAGAATATTCCCTATCAAAAATGATTTGTAAAAAATATAAATATGATTTATTAGATTCGCAACTAATCAGCTACATTATACAAGTAGACTTTTAGGATTCTATTCGTTAATACAAATGAGAAAGTAGAGTTCCGTTCTAATCCTTTCGGTATGAAGCCTACCAAAGTAGGAATTAAAAATAATAGATTATGTCAAAAAGTAAGTATAAAATAACATAAGAATTACTAAAAAATAATTATTTAATATTCAATTAATTAATTAATTTCTTTGTATATTAATTAAAACAATTACAAGTTAATATTGGTATTGATTAATTAATATATTATAAATATGGATATGTATTTGATTAAATAAAATTTAATAGTAAAATAAGTAATAGTAGAATTGAAACAAACAATAAGTAAGTTGTAAGTTTATAAGTGCGCTGTGTATTGATATTATGCATCGCTTTATGCATAATTGGCTAAATTCATGTGACCATTCGAGTTTACAATAACACCTGCAAAAAATAATTTAATACATATTTTTGTTACGGTCAAGGAAGGCCCTGTCAACGTTAAATGGCTCAACTGAAATGCGCAAAAAATTGAACTCGCAACTTTTGACAAAATTTAAACTGCGTCAATTAATTGATACAATTTATTTACACTATTTATGCGCTATAAAATTTATATTAGTTAGAGATCATAGAATAATTTATAATAATAATTTTATTTAAAAAATATATTTCTTATAATACAATGTATTAAATTATTATAAATACATATTAATAATAATGTTTCAAACTTTCATCAAATTTTCAACGCGTAATTCAGAAAGCTTTATCATAAAAAAATATCTTCTAATACTCACCGATAACAGCAGAGTATGCACATGCTACTACCCCTAGTATCAAAACAAATTCAACCAACTGATTATTCCTCATTGTTGTTTTATTATTTCTTGCACTATATTCTATAAAAGCCTTCTGAACTTATATATCCAGTGCACTTTTAAAAGTCTTTCTTTATAATATAATATATCGTTAATGTAATCTAAAATAACTTTATATGCAGCGATCGATCGCCCTATATCAACAAATTTGAATGCGCAGGTGAACGATATCGTTGACGATTTAAATGATTCTGTTATGGATCCGAAGATTCCTATTTGATAAAATCTTTCCACGACTGTCTGTTGTGAGGAACGTCTGAGAACTGACCGGTAAAGAAGCAGAGTCTTGGGTCTTTTGTGATTTTAATGTTCCGGAGAGAGTAAACATAACTGGCTGTACATGGCACAATACACATGCACAATAATGCCGACCGCGTTCATGTACACGTGAGGGACTTGACTTGTCACAAAGCATGCGTAGCACCCAGTGGCGTATTGCATTACTTTTGGATGATCTTCAGCCGAAAAGGAACAAGGCTGGCAGGCAATGCGGGCACCAACTCTTTGAAACCGGAACCGGGTTTTGGATCCATTCAAGATCCGATTAGTTTCTTAAAGAAGACTGAACAGTTCATGTTTCCTAATGGTTCTCGTGTCTAAAAATTCAATTCCAATAAGCCACTAATTGGCTTATGCTAACTATTGCTACACCAAACCACGAATACTTAGGTATACAATCAGAGAGGAAAATAAAAGAATTGCCCTAAACTATAAATACAAAGTTGATAAACATAAAAGACTGAAAAAATAAATTTAATAGATTTAATGCAATAATTGATAACGTGTTTTGTTAGTTTAGGTTGTACTAAGAACACATAGGATAGAGCGGGGCTTAAAGGTTCGCGGGTAAAAAAGTCCACAACCGCTATCTCAAAAACAAGTAAAGTTAAAGTTTATTTAACAACAATATTTGAAAGCAAAAAGAAAAATATATATAATCAGCCATAATCTTGATTATTACGACGTTGCTGTCTGGCAATGTTTAAAAATTTTCATAACAAAAGTATTTTCTTTCGTTGTTAGTTTTTTAGTTGTGAGCACTATTGTTTATTTTACAAGACCTTAATATAATTTTAAAGAATGCGTTATTTAATTGTTTTATGAAATTGATTGTTAATTTCAAGCGTCAACATAAAAATAAGTTTATAAAAGCAATTTTACAAGAGATAAATTAAATAAATAGTTATTTCAATTCTGCTGATAAATATTTCTGGCAAAATACCAGATCAAGGTTATATACAGTGTTATCTCTATAAAAAATGTACTCATGAAATTTATATTTTGCATTGGTTGAATAATGCAAATATTATTATGTAAAATCCTTTTAAAATTAAAAAAAAACTTTGGATATGTTTGTCTCTTGGTTGTCTTATTTTAGCCCGCCTTTAGGGCAAAAAGGACCAGATGACAAATTTTTAAAAAATATAAAAAAAACAATCATCTACAATGATAAACTAGCTGGGAGTTTAATTAAACATAGTCAGTTAGTTGTTTGTTTGACATGTGTTATTTGTTGTGATATTATTGGTTAGGTTTTCCCAATACAATTGCTCAAAGTCAAATTCGACTTTTGTACCCCGCCCTACCCTAAATAGATATGTATGTAGGTATGTGTATGTGCATGCATATGTATGTGGACGTGTTTATAATTGTATATGCTTAATTATATATTCTAGTTTTCTTATGCTAACGAAACAAAAATTAGATATATAGCACACAAATAAAATGCAAATCTTTTCCTTTAAAAAGCCACTATAAAATAAACTTATTGCTCAATGTGTACCTACAGACAGATTATAATTTATATGAAAACTAGTGGTGTATCAAAAATTAAAATTTTAACAAAGCTTTAAATTTTTTGAAAACTTTGAGAAAATTAGATTTTTGAGAGTTTAGAAATTTAAAAAAAAATTGTTTTATTTAAATTTTTTTATGTTTTATTTTTTTGAAAATTGTGAACTTTTTTACAAAGCAATTGTGATTTGTGTTTTAGAGACAAAAAAGAAGAAAAAATTAATCATATCATTTTGTCGATACAAATAAATCGCTTATGAATCGGATGCTCCGTTCTCTCAAAATCTGAATTACCATTTTTGGCACTTTTTGCCCCGTATCTTCGAAGTGGTTGAACCTGCCTTGGCCAAAAACTAATTAGCACGTCTCCTTAGGGGGCGTCCATTAATCACGTGAGGTTTTTAGGTTTTTAGGAGGGGGGGGGGTTGACAAAAAATCACGAAATATCACATGGGGGAGGGAGGGGTATAGCAAGATATCACGTGCATTTATAAAAAATTTCAAACATTTTTTAAAAAAACTAAAAATTATACAGATTTTTCACGTAACTAAAAATACACGTGATGTTTGGTAGGGGTGGGGGGGGGTTAATTTTAAATATCACCAAATATCACCAAGGGGGAGGGGGGGTCTAAAAATCCTTAAAAACTCGCTCACGTGATTAATGGACGCCCCCTTATCAGTGGGACTCTAATGTTTTTTGAATTATTCAAACCGGTTGATCAGTGTTCTCGAAATCGTCGACGATTTTATTCGCACATACATACATCATACATCCACTTTTTTCTAAAATATGCCAAAATGTTCAGAATGCTTTGAAATGTAATGATATATAAAAATTTTTATTTTAGATTTTTTTGCGATTACTATAACTTACCCTACGGGAAGTATAACGAGTTAAAAAAGTCATTGCGTCCAATTTTCTATAATTACATTATAGGGCCTATCATGTGACGCTTGTAAAATATCTTGAAACGCTTTCTTTTTGAACCGAAGCTAATTTTTTCTCAGCTTAATCGAGTACAAACAATTGAGACGAAACCTATGAATTAAGATAAATTCGTCGCAGCCACATTGAAGAATATACAACAATGAAGAAATAGCTAGAAAAAGTAGGTTGATGTCAATGCAAGTTCGATTGGAAAATGCATCTTCAGTCCGGGGCACTAATTTATGTCATGCAGCTAATTTCCCTCAGAAAATCGTTTGCCGGTCTGATTCTTTTCTCTATAGAATTGCAAAGCAGTAAAGTGAGAAAATACACTGCATCGGAACATGCACTTTCCAAAGCGATAAATTCTTTGAGCCTGATGTACTTGCTGAAGTGAAGTACGTTTGTAATTAATATGTGTTAATTATTACAAGCAGTGATTATTGTTATGCATATTACGCATAATTATGTAAAAAACAAACAATCATTTTATATCAATTAATTTTAAACGTTCTACCTAGTTTAATGGTAAAAGTTTTGAATAATAATTAGTTTCACAACACGCGTTATTTAATTCATTCAACGCACGAGAACTCATGCATAAAATTATTACAACTTAATTAGTAAATTGATTAATATCGTGATTATTGATTATTATAGTAGATTTGCTTATAATATATTAATACATTGTAAATGGGCGAAAGCGAAATAATTGAACAAATATTGATTAATGTGTTTTGAAGAATATAGTAATGTAACTGAGACATTATTAATATTCATTTACTAGCAAAAGTAATCTAATGTGACAAGTATTGCAACCTTTTTTCATATAGCTATTAGGATATTTTATCAAACAGGTATTGAAAATGTCATACAAGCAATGAGTCTAGATTTCATATTGCAATTTAATTTATTGATATTTTATAAAAAAATGTTATGAGAATACGTAGAGTTATTTTACTAGAACTAAAAATGCAAAATATTTATTCAATATTTGAAAATTTGACTTCACTTCACTATGTTAGGTGTTTTATCCTTTGCACTTTTATTTATTTAAATTTATGTTATTATTTATCAATATTACTTTATATTAATAATTTAACAGTTGTAATACTTATTGAAATTAAAAAAAAAATGTTAGGTGTTGTAATGATAAAGTATTAACAAGGCGAAGTGAAATTTTCAAATATTATGTGAACTTATGTGTTTTTAACAAAAACTAGTTATATGAATTTATAGACAGAAACTCCAGATAAAACCTGATAATTGAACATATCTAGTTCCAAAACGTCGTAATAAAAACATCTACCAAATATTTTTTATTTTTTATTTTTTAGATTAATTTCTCGGAAAAGAAACATAAATTAATTTAATAAAAAATCCAAAAGTTAGTATATAAATATATATATATATATATATATATATATATATATATATATTTGTTTCTTTGTTGTAATGTTTTATCATTAGTAAAATGTTTCAAATTTTTTGTAGTTGCTGAATGATGACACGCATCTGGTGTCGAAACGTAATATATATATATATATATATGTATATATATATATACATATATATATATATATATACATGTATATATATAAATATGTTAAAATTTTAATAATTTTGATGTTGAGATATGTGAGAATCAGTCTTCAGGGCAATACATCAAGTAAAAACTTGTATAAACTTATAACATTTTTATTGTTTCCATACGTTTCGACACATTGTTTTGTGTCATCTTCAGTGTACTCTAGTTTGGAAGCACAGATAAAAATTATTAATTAAAACTAATTTATAAGAAAGTGATATAGTGTAAAAATTTACATGTAATTGTAATAATCCTAAGGATTACTATAATAGGATTACTACAATTACATGTAAGATTTTACACTATATCACTTTCTTATAAATTAGTTTTAATTCATAGTTTTAATCTGTGCTTCCAAACTAAAGTTCACTGAAGATGACACAAAAAATGTGTCGAAACGTATGGAAACAATAAAAATGTTATAAGCTCATACAAGTTTTTAATTGTCTACTATTGCCCTGAAGACTGATTCTCACGTTGCCCAAAGCGACGTTGGAACGTCGCTCTGGGCAACCTGACATCGTGCAGTAGTGATATAAATTTTTACTTGAAGCTATAGATAAAAAATATGTTTCCAATGAAAAATAGCCAATTTTGGGCACTGCGGTGTGAAATGGAAATGGGAAATATCTCACACTATTCTTTCCTTAAACGAGTTGGAGTTCAACTCAGCTCACGG